AAAAAAARAAAAAAAAAAAGTTCAAGGTGCRAAAAWAAAAAMMAAMAAAAAAAAAAAACACGACGGCCACCTCCCGTTTTCGCCAATTATCGAACCCGTAGGCCGTAGAAAGCGCAGTTTAGTGTTTTTTCTTGCAGTTTCGAGCTGSTCTTCGCCCAAGCTTGCAGTGGACTGTTAATTCTAAACTGCAGTGGACTGTTATTCCTGCGAATTCGAAACTGTGCAGCGGTCACAGGCCCAGTTGTCTCAATATATTTATTTTGGACCGGTTTTGAGCCCAGCCGGATTTCCGGTTGGATCACCTGAGTCGATCCGGTCCAACTGGCCAGTTGCCTGCCCAACACCGGTGAGCCCTGAATTCGCAAATCTTGGTGGGTGCCATACAGTTGCCACGCGCCAGYTGGTTACATCCGCCTTGCTCGTGAGAATCTGAAATATCGGCTTTCCCATGAAAACYGAAATGGGATTCAGAAAATGGTGGACATTTTCTGCTCTCTCTTGGACATGAGACTTCACCGGGGTGATGACAGTGAGAACGAAGCCCTGGGGAGACGCTAGTGCTACGCGACCCGTGGGCGGCAGGGCCTGCCCGCCAGGACCCGCGCAAGCTTCTGGAGATGGCTGTCATGTACGACGGTTTTCCCTGGGAGAATTGTGCACCGACAGCCCCTGGCTACGTGTGTGCCAGAGTGAAACTACTCACGTGGAGCGAGATCGGTGCGTTGACGCCAGCGTGACGGTGGATAGGTGTGTTGAAGGCTTGACGACGAATCAGCGGAACAGCGGACAGCGAGGACCAAAGATTACTGGGTCAGCGAAGGGAATAGTGACGACCAATTGGGGGTGGTGAGGCAAGGGAGGTGACGACGACAAGTGTGAACAGCGGACAGCGTGACTGCAAGCGCAGGGAAAGGGAGACGGAAGGAACGGGACGGCAACAACTGGAGAATAGCGGACGGTGAACACCGGCGGGCTGATCAATTGGCGCATCCGGTCACAAGTGGGAGACTGCAAAGTGTTGGGCGGACGGGCTGGACCGCGCAAGGAGTGCCACGTGGCGGCGCCTGGATGACGCGATCGCCCTCGGCGGATGACAACATAGGGGCGAAACAGCGGGAAGCGAGAACGGAGTGCCAATGCCGGCGTGATGACGGGTGCCGGGATACGATGAGCGACGACCACAAGTGTCGGAGGTAGGAGGTTGGTCTCACAATCGGTGCCACGTGGCGCCGCCGTTGGGACGGGGTTCTCCAAACGCAAACGATGCATCGATGATTTCGGACCAGACGGTGACCTCCTCCATATCATCCCCCCTCGCCTCCCGATCCCTTCACCCGCTACCATTCTAGACCCCTCGCCATATCCCCTCCCCCCCCTAATTTTCCCAATCCCTCGCGATCGCTTCATCTACCACCCCGTTTAACCTCTGCAGTGACCTTCCCCGTTTTGCACCCCCTCCCTTCGATCTTCTCGACTTTCCCGATCTCTTCATCTCCTTCGATCTTCACGATCCCCTCGTCTGCTACCGTTCTTAATCCGTGCCATACCCCCGCCCTCCCCTCAACTTTCCCGATCTCTTCATCTACCATCGCTTTCTCCTCTATTGACCCGGTGTCTGCTTCCTTATGCGTCCTGTCCACTATCTTCGCCCGCCCCTTCGCCTGTGCACAACGTCATCCGTGAAGCTCTGAAGTGCACCATCGTCTCCCTCTACGGCCACGGAGATATTTGTCGGCCCTTGTCTCTGCACAACATCACCCGTGAAGCTCTGAAGTGCACTGTTGCCCCCCTCGGCGGCCACGCAGATCTGGGCATAACGACACCTCCCTTCGGACAACTAACGGCGGGGAACCGGTGCACAGCACCAGACACACACTATGCCTGCCTCGTCCTAAATCCACACCTCCCCCCTCGTGCTCTGATTACATACATTGTGAAATGATCATTCGTAGCAACAGCGTGATAAATTGTGATAAATTGTGATAAATTGTTATATAGTGAATAATAGTGAGATCGTGATAAGCAATGCCGCCCGAGGTAAGGATACACCCACCACGTGCAGAAGAGGGGATGGGGAAGGGTGGAACAAAGCCCCCTCCATCCTCGGACAACTTGGAGCTGAGTAGCAGAAGCCCTTCCAACACGGCACCGGGACAGGGGGGGGATAATGGACCGATGAAGGGAAAGGCCCCGACCACGAGCCACCCAAATGCTCCCCGGCTCCCAGATGGCCCAGACAAGGGATTACAATGGGAGCACCACACGACACCGGGACTGGAACAAGCTAACAGAACATGGAAGGACAGGCTGGTGGGAAACGGATCGCAAACCACACCTGACCCTGCCACTTCAGCCAGCTGTAAAAAATCGCCCCCCCAGCTCCTGCGAGCACTTTCAGCTCCGGCTCAATCGGATGCAAATAGATCAGCCTCCCTTGATTCCATCGCCCCTCTTAAGAGTCACTTTATCCAGCAATTGTATGTCSAGCCCGAAASGAAATTCCAAGTGAAGGAAGGCTACATATACCCTCACTCAATATTCCYGCCACGGGCCAGAGCCACCARAGACCTCATCTACACGCAAAGAGCAGTCCACTTCCGATTTCAGCCCATGCAKCCGGGAAYAGCGATCAACGACAGGGTTAAATGGATTACAGACAGGCTGGCCATGATCAAACCAGACAGACAGTTGGTTCACGACCACTTCCTTATTGAAGTGGAYAACCCATAATGTATTACGGTGGTTGCCCTGTACTCGACAGACAGGCAACTCTTGCTCAAGAACGGAGTTCTGCAATTCAGGGGGAGGCAGGTGCGGGTGTCTCCCTGGTCACCGGTCGATCCGCAATCGGMRGACGAACGGAGAGAACACCTGATGGAGACCAACTTCTGGGTTGAACTTAGATTTGTCCCCCTGTGCGTGCAAGGCGCGATTCTGACTGRCCTCGAAAATATCGCTCCCGTCAAAGGTTTCATAAYAGACCTCCCTCAATTCCTGGGTAAAAGGGACGATTCCCTGCTTGTTGCCRTGRATTGGGATGAGTCYTGCCCCTTTCCCCTCAATGACGAATGRAGATACTCCCTCGGGGGAAGAGAGTTCTCTGTCCCCGTTAGCCACACACAGGACCCCTGGTGTTACGCATGTAAGATAAGGGGTCACCTGTGCTCGGACGAAACTTGCCCRACGACCARAAACAACAGAAAAAAAGGCATCAAGGGCCTTGTGACTCCGGATCCCGATGATGAGGAGAAGTGGTACCCGGAAGAGAAGGAACTACATGGCTGGCTCTTTAGAGCATTTGCTGATGGACGGGCAGGGACATGGATATGGCAGGGCGAAGGCCAACCGTYRGCCTTCCCCTCCGGAGCGAGMATTGAGTCCACCACCGACTMAAAASTCGCCGCCAATCCAAAAGTGACATCGGTTTCGGGTGACCCTGRAAATGAAGGGAGGAATCCTRCYCGCWGTGTTGAAACAAGAAAGGGAAAACAGAACAGGACGGGCAATGTCCACAAGACTAAATCTAGTAGAGATAATGCGCTCGTGCCCTCARATGGACTTCGATCCCGCCCCCGGGTGGYGCAACCTCCACAAAAGAGTAAGGGCCTCCCGCCTGCCCCTCTGGTCTACAAACCCAAGCCCAAAAGGGGACCCGCGGCTCCCCCGGACGACCGGCCCCCTCAAAATGGCCRGACGGAGCACCGACATGGCCAGCTGAAGGATGGYRACAGCAACGGTCCTGGTAACCGGCAACCATCACAGRCACCCCTACTTCCACAACCTCAAACYGCACAAACCGTATCATCACAGAAAGACCAAAGTCACCCTGTGCATAAGGAGGCCTCCRACCGAATGCARCARTCCCTGGCGTCTGAAGTTCTGGAACAACACCCGGCTCARACAACCTYTATAGCAACGCCGCTCCGGGGGCAGGATGTTGCGACACAAMAGGATTTGTCGATGAGGCGATATGACAGACCAGACCATGCTGCACACGACCGACAGGGAGATGGGAATGCACTGGCCACTTGCAATGGGGAAGCTGAGAAACCGACCGTGATACAGCTGTGMAAACCGGACTGCGCCCCTCTCTCCCGCAATGGTCCTTCGGTGGCACTCTGTGAACMCYCTGACAGAGCAGTGCCACCCCTGGYAGTTGCGACACARCAGGATTTGTCGATGGGGCGATATGACAGACCAGACCATGCTGCACACGACCGACAGGRAGATGGGAATGCGCTGGCCACYTGCMATGGGGAAGCTGAGAAAGCGACCGTGATACARCTGTGCAAACTGGACTGCGCCCCTCTCTCCCGCAAYGGTCCTTCGGTGGCACTCTGCRAACACTCTGACAGAGCAGTGCCACCCCTGGCAGCTGACAACAATGGACGACAAGCTGATTGGCTGGCTCATGGGATACAGCCATTCAKTAAAACTGAAGGGGATATGCAACTGGCCACACACGCAGTGAACCGGTCRTRGGAGTCGGGAGAGACGTCCTCGGCAGTCGCCAGCAGGGACGTGGCTAACACAGTGGAGGTAAGAAATTCCAAAATCCTTAACCCCCACCAAATGTGGCTCAAAGCMAACTCCCTCCTCACCAAGATCAAAGGTGCAGCACTCTCCCAACCCCGGGGTGTCTCAAAAGGAAAGCTGAAATTGTCGGCTGCCTCCCCCCGTTCAGTRTCGGAAATGCCGCTCTCCATAACACAGGCTCCACCAGGGAACGTCCACCCACCAGAGGTCCTCTCAGAGTCRCGGCAAAAGCTGCCAGGTCRCGGTCTCACCCGCGGTGCTATGTTATCACAACCCCCCGTTTGATCCCCGCAGTAGCCGCACACTRAGTCCTGCGATGTGGGTCCGGCTGCGGAGCCACCCGCCACGATTAGCTTGAGGCTATCACCGTCACAGCTACCGTCACAGTCTCAATCACAACTGCAGACACATGGGGAGCCAGGAATAAAACCACAGTCCCGGGAGGGGGATGGGGGTGGRRSACGGGAGTATGCTCCARGGCGAGAAAGAGTACCCGRCCTTGACGAGAAAGGGCCACAGGCTGCTAGGCTCACCGAAGTCGTCTCGGAACTCACCGGCGAGCRAAAATTCCTGCTGCTCGYTCCCACGGGAAAATCCAAGCACCAGACTCGTCCCCCCCCCCCCTCAAGAAGACGGGTTGGTTCTATGCAGGGCGACCCCGGACCGCCCGCACTCTGGGCCTCAACAACCAATGGCGGACCCRGAACCCCAATCCGCCTCTCRGGAAGTGGAGAACGATCACTTGGAACACGAGAAGGTCCAAACTGGCCAGCAACGGCCAATGGCGCTTCAACAGCACTCCGACCCGCACGAGCAGCACCCAAACACTGGAGTCGAGTCTCACCAACAAGCCACGGCTCCACAGGGGAAGCAGTCCATTCAGGACAGCGGATGGATCCGCCCGCCGGAGTGACCTGGGTATCCATCCGACACGCTGCAATTGGACCACCTTGCATATCATCAGACCCTCCAATTGCATGACCAACAACAACAACAACATGTAGAGAAGTGGCAGCAGACCTGGGTGCACCCACAACAACAACACGAGGCCTGCCAGCACCAGCAACAAGGTCCCACACAGCACCATCAGCCGCTTACCTGCCCGCAGCAAGAGGAAAACCATCACCTGCCTCGATCGCTGTTGGCCCTGCAGCAGCAGCAGGTGCAGCTGCAATTCATGCACAACATCCAGGCCCCGCCGGCGGAGAGCCACCTCCAACAACAAAACCCGCGACAACAGGATTACTTGCCGCAACAGCAGCAGCATAACGACATTATGCCTCAAATGCAAATGCAGGACCAGCGACAGCAGCAACAGCAATGCATGCAACAGAATGACTGTGAGGAGCACCTCCGGCGGCTGCTCCAAGCACAGCTGGCGCAATATCAACAGCAACAATACCAGGATAGGCTGACACATCAGCATCTGTTGCTCCAACACTTGCACTTGCATTGGCAGCCCCAGCTTTGCTGTCAACAGCAACAAGTTCTGCAGCAGCAGCAACTTCAACTCCATATGTTCTGGCAGCAAGAGGCAGAGAGCCAAAAAGCGCAGGAACAACACCCGCARCCTATGTCGGATCATTMTGCCCTTTCTCTTCCGGACTGGTACAACGACAGGCAGATCCCTGAGGACATGGACACATTTGCCCCCTTTTCTGATCTGCCACAGCCTGTTCAACAGCAACAGCAAGCCCYGCCTGATCTGCTGCAGCCCGCWCAACTGCAACAGCATGCCCYGMCTGTGGATATGGAGGTAGAGTCGGTCCCCCCACAGTCGTCACCTCCGRAAGCGGCTGACCCGCCGCCTTTGGCGGCGAACGAGGAGGYCCAGCAAAAATTGGCATTCCTCACCGAATGGACCCTCACCAAGATCTTCTCTATGTCWGATAATAAGTCGGGTGACAAACTGAACAACAGATRTTGGGGAGAGGCTAAAAGAGTTCTAATGTACAGCCCCAGGGTCCTGGCTACGRTYGACAAGTACAGCATAGTCTCTGCAATAGACWGGATGGATGTGGGAGCCGCAATTGTGCTYGTCGTCAATGATTTTCTAGACAAAATTCATAACTATGCCAACGCCCGGTTTGGACAGAAATCARACAAYRACATTCGACCGCTCCTGGAGGACACTGGGGAGGCATTCCTTCACGAGGGACTTGCCTGGCCCAAAGTATTGGTGCACGAACTTTGCACCACGCTGCATACCATYTAGGAACAACCGGGGATCGCTGGCCAGYAGCAAYGGACAATGGATCTGGYTGTGACCCCCCCGRCATCACACGGCCCCCGCTCCATACCTCAGCCYGCGGGGTCCGCCGAGGGTGCACCGATGGGGAGCTSAGTCGGGTTGCTGGAAAGTCAACCCTCCCGACCCCCAGGTGGTCCTGTTGTCCATGATGACGATGACGCAGACRACAGCCAGTCACATTCAGACAACGACGACAGACAATTGGTGACTCTCCCGAAAAAKATGCGYGAGGTGGTCCGRCTACAAGAGGATGACAACTCTCCGGTTGTGATGCCCCCGGGGGTAGCCATCTTCCCCATCAGAAGGGAGAAGGAGGGAGGCCAGTGGCTGTTGCGCCTTGGCCCCCCACTGGACMCCACCCGCCAGTCTCAACAGCCGAAGTCCACACCAACGACGATGAACCTGACGGTTGAAGGCTGGAGGGGGAATCCCTCGACGACCGTGATCCTTAAGCGCCTAAAGTACTGGGTCAGGGAGTCTAACACTTCTGACGTGTTGGGGGTGGTCCTCCCTCAGACACACACATTCCCGAAGGGTATAATCCCAGCCCTGCTACTGCTGGACACCAAAAGCARAGCCACCAAAACCGGTACGGACTAYAGGTGGTTCAGTCACCATCAACTGATGGACCTCCCCACAACAAGATTTGTGACCAACTATGCCTGGGTAGCGAGTAGGGTCCTCATCTTTATGCAGACCTCCTTGGAAGACAATATCCTCGAAGAGCACAACGAGTGGGATGACCCGCAGTGCGTGCTCCCCGTCAAGGTCGTGCCTTGAGGATCCGGACTTGTGATTGCAAAAGACCGCCAAAATGATGGTCCCTCCCCTACCGAATATTGTTGCAGCGAGCAGCAGCAGCAATGGTCCGGCCGCAGGGGCGGCCTCTTGACTCTTTGCCCCGAGCCACCCCCCCTTCACCGCCCCTCCGACCACCGCCCCCCCCAGGTTCTTCCTAGAGTCAAGGGGCCGACCCAATGGGCAACTAAACTGGCCCACGCAGACATAGACATTCAATCCCTTAATGTCAACGGCCTCATTCAAGCGTCGACAGAAAAAAAGGACGCGATCTTCGATATGTTCAAACCCGCGGTGGCGGGGTCATGACCAGATGTCGTCTGCATCCAAGAAACACACCTGCAGGACACTCCAGCGCATAACGTGAAAGGGAAATTTATATGGCCATATGTGTCCTACTCGGCACCGACCAAAAATAGGGCATCTGCAAGGGTGGCGATCTGGCTTCCCCCGTCCTCCCGATTGAACCCGGTTACCATGGACAGGGATGAACAGTACGGGAGGTGGGTCTGCCTCAAAGTCTCCTTCAAAGAAGAAGAGTTTTACCTGACCAATGTCTACGCACCAAACGACCCCGCTGGTAGGGTAGAGTTCTGGGTCTCTCTTCAAACCCGGCTGCCGGTCGACGCCCCGCATATCTGAATGGGGGACTTTAATACTACACTCGACCCGGCTATGGATCGTAGGTCCCCCCCCCGCTCGCAAGATCACGGGGATCCGCAGCAGACCGGAGTGGGGCTGGATGTGCTCATGCTCAGGCAATTTATGGCGGACCGCCAGCTGGAGGATATGTACAGACTGCTGCACCCCTCCCAACGTATCTATACGTGCATGTCATCCAGAGGTGAACGTGGCCTGGCCAGCTCTCGCATAGACCTCTCATTGGTTTCAATGGACCTGGCCAGCCTAGTTACAACAGCAGAAATAACAACCATTAGCCCCTGCAAGTCCTTTGACCACCGCATGATCACACTTGGCCTATCCTGGCATAATCACGTTCAGAGGGGTCCTGGGTTCTTCAAATTGAACACATCTCTGCTCCCCCTCTCGAAATTTAAAGATACCATCACTTCGTTCTGGGAATACTGGCAAACTCGGAAACYAGTGTCAGGCGATAGAGTGAAATGGTTTAATGATGGTGTGGCGCAAATGAGAGAAAGAGYCAAAAAGTTCTCCATACAGCACGCCAGGGAACGCAAGGCTCTCCTTGAAAAACTCATGAAGGACSTGGAGGAGTGGGACGACCAGCTTATGGACGATCCACAACATGACGCCACATTTGACAGACTGCAGGAAGCCAGAGACCACCTCCAAGCCTATATTGAACAGCAAGCACAAGCATGGAGGATCTTAGCAAGGATAAAACGAACGCACACGGACGGCACAATGGCAAAAACATTTTTCAACAAAGCGAGAGCCAGAGCGAGAGCCAGAGCGAGAGCCAACACCTTCCCCGTGCTCAGACACCCTCTGGACGAGGCGGCTCAACCCGCAAATAATGCTTACTCCATAACAGATTATGCAGCTCAATATTACCGGAACCTTTTCACCTCTCAAACACCCAACAAGCCTGCGGAAGGGCTAGAGACGAGCTCTTAGCTACAGTCCATACCCACCTCACAGACTCTCAAAAGAATGACCTTGACGCCCCCCTCACTCAACAAGAGGTCTGGGAGGCGCTGAGAGACATGAAGGATGAAAAGACTCCCGGTATCGACGCGTTTCCAAAGGAATTCTGGGCTCGATTCTGGGACCTTCTTAAGGACGATCTGATGGAGTATATCTTGGCGGTCCAGAAAGAGGGAACTTTTGGGGGCATGATCGGACAAGGAGTGACCACACTCCTTTACAAAAAGGGCGATAAGGAGGACATTAGAAATTACAGACCCATAACCCTCCTTCCGGTCCCATACAAGATGGCGGTGAAGGCGATGACGAAAAGGTTGCTGCCCTATATGAATCCATTGATCCACCCCGACCAGTCGGGCTTCATGCCTAATCGTAATATTCAGGATAATGTTCTGCTGGTCAATGAAACCATCAAGTACGCCCGCCAACGGAAGATCCAAGCTGCTATCATTTTCATTGATTTTGAAAAAGCCTACGATCATGTTGATTGGGACTTTCTAGACATGTGCCTGGATAGGATGAATTTCGGGCCGACCTTTTGCCACTGGGTACAAATCTTTCATAATACGGCCACCACGAACGTCATGCTCAACGGCCACCTGTCACCACCAATACATCTCCAGAGGTCGGTGCGGCAGGGTGACCCCATCGCACCTATGCTGTTTGTGATTGTGATGGAGGCATTGGCCTCCTCCATCAGAGCTCACCCTAACATCAGCAGAGTGCCTATCCCGAAAATCCTGGTCCACCTTATCCCAGTGACATCGCTGTTCGCAGACGACCTCACTGTCCTCATCAAAGCAGATGAAGACAGTGTKCGCGCCCTCTCAYAAATAATACACCTYTTCTCGCTCGCAGCAGACATGAAAGTYAATTGGGGGGCAAAAACGGAAGGATGGTGGCTTCACCCTCAAGGAGAGCCCCCGCCGCAAGAACCTGCAGTGGCTTGGGCACGAAAAGAAGATGCCATTCGAATATTGGGGGTGAGGCTAACAGCACTAGGTCCCCCACAAGACCATGGAGAGGCGCTGGTCAACCTCGCCATTGGCCRATTGGCAAGATGGGAGGGGCTACATACCTCAYTGGTGGGTAGGGCCTTGGCAATAAACAATGCAATCTTGGCAGCTATCTGGTACAAACTAGCGGTCTGGCCACTTAAAAGGCGTCAATATGCCAGACTCGGGAAAGCTTTGACTACTTACCTCTGGAAAAATAGTGCTAAAGCAGAGGGGTGTATATCAAGGGTGAGTTGGGATGTTCTTACGCAGCCAAGAACCAAGGGAGGATTAGGAATCCTGGACACTGAGAGGGAAAGTGAAGCACTGATCTTCAAAGTTGTGGTCAGACTGTTGATAGGCAACGACATCCCCTAGTCTCAACTTGCCTGCCTTCAGATCGCCTCCCTCGCACCAGAAGCACTTACAGACGAGAGGTTGCACCCCTTCCAATCGTTGACCAATACCGACTGGTCTCTGCCTTCCCCCCCGCAACAACGGCAGAGGACCAACCTGAGGCAGGCGGTGAGAGCAGATATCCCCCAAGACCCCCTGTGGCCATATATGATTAACCTGTGAAGAAGGCGTGGGCCGAAGCAAAAACAGCCCCCGAATAGATGGCAGGACATTTGGAGGCAACCTCTGTTTGGTAATCCTCGCGTCCTTGACGAAAATGGCAAGCCCTTCAGTCTCAGGAATAACTCCCCATGGCTTACTTGGGCAAGAAGGGGAATATACAYAATAGGGGACTTGTGGGACCCRCGTGCAAACGACTGGGCAACAACCGAACAACTGCGACGCAAACTCAAGCATGCCAGAAACGTGGGCGACAGAAAGGTCATGCTCATGGAGGCCCTCCCTCTCGCGTGGCGTCTCACTATCCAGAATGGSCCCSATGTCAGSGATGATGAYTGGATTGTCAAATTTACAGACCTGCCTCWCCCGCTTTCAGTGTTTAGGGTCTGCAGTAATGATGATGGGCACTGTGCGCTGCAAGCATACGACCTYCTGAGCCCTGGGGCCAGATTCTCGCAATTCGCTAGAAACGACAATCTTGATGGGACCGAAAGTTGGGGGGGGCTGATGCATGTACGTGTTGTGGGGGACCCACAAGATGGGCTCTTTGTCTTTGAACCTACAACCCCGGTGGCCAAACTCCCTTTTGACCCGGCTGAATGGGAATGGCCTGGCCCCAAGCCGATGCGCATATGGGACTAMAYAGTCAAAGGAGGGTAWAGGGCCTCAAGGACCGCCCCGGAGATCGCCCAAACCCTGTYTGCCAGATGGGTGYGTGACTCACCTCTGGACTCACATATGATAACTGACCTGCCGTGGGCTAAGTATGCCAAGAWTATGCCCACGAATCTGCGTGCCCTGCAATRGCAAATTGTTCACCGGTGCCTGCCCACTCCCGATTGGCTGGTGTCTCGTACCGACCTCGAACAAAAAGGGYTGTTGTCGCCTTTATGTGCGTACTGCGGCAGAACAACGCCTCCAGCCAGGGCCACCTTGGAACATTGTTTATTGGCCTGCCCCATGGTCACCCAGCTGTGGCAATGGTGGGATGCAGCCTTTCGATCCCTCACAGGGGAGCAAATTCCATGGGACCTGGGGCTACTGCTCCTGGGGAAAAAACAGATCCTGATGAACCATTGGTCCCCCTATGCAACTAATCTCTTCTCTTACACAAGACTGTGAGTGCTCATGTTAGCCAGGAGAGCCCGCTGCTCCTTCGAAAGAAGGGACCACCAATTTGGCCTGCCGCAAGCCCAACAAGCCTTGGAAGACATTATCAGGTCCTACACGCAAGAAGCATGGAGGGCATTCATCCGCGACTATAAGGAGGAGAAGGACCCTAACGTTCGGGAAGCGCTAAAATCGGCCTTCTGCCTGTTGTGGCAGGATCCGAGCCGAACATTTTTTGAACTAGACAGTGAGCTCAATATCCACTGGAAACAGTGGAGGGCCACAGAGCCACTGTGGCAGAGGAGACCCTTCCACTCCTTCCAAGTCCCCTTCCTACAACCTAACTTCGTTTTGGTAACACAATAGGGCTCCAATGGGGGTCCCCGCCCGCAGACTGATTCACACTGCACGCTCAAGGGATACATCCTTTGACGCTGACGGTGGCCTGGACACTGCCCTTCCTCTTCTCGCCCACCTCGTTTCCCCTCTCTTCTCTCTTTCCTCTCTCCGCCCATCCTTTGCCCCCGCTGCTCTATACCCCCACCCTTTCTCCCTCATTCCGTTCCCCTTTTCTCCAACGATCTCAAGCGAGGCAGGACCAAGAAGAGGAGCGATTGCGAACGACAAAAGTGGCACCAGCGGACACGCATGAGGTGGAACCGCGGGAGGAGAGCCATTGCTAGCTCGCAATGGTTGGACACAGGCTTCAGTCACAACAATACCTTGGGGAGGGGTGAGCTGCAGTTCGCACTGCATAGCCACGGCCTACCCCTCCCGGGCAATATGTTCGAACGTCAGACCAAACAGGATCTTCCCTTCAAAGAGTATTCAGGGGTCGATTCTCTAGCAATAAGGACAACAGACAGGACGCTGATAGGATTGTGGAGACAATGGGAGGGGTCGATGTGGTGGTCCGTTGATGCCTCTCTGATTAAATAAGTACCATAACCGCTTTTATAACTATTTCACTCGGGGGGCTGCAAACACCTGGGATAGTCGCCTGTCGTTGGCAGCACTGGGAGAGCATATACAKATTTGAATGATTGGGCGGGTAGCTTCTCAGGTGGGGGTCTGGCCATAGGCAAGTAAGAGCTGCACAAAGGTAGTGGGAAACATGCAGCCCGGAGGGATASAAGGCAGCTCCAGAGCAACAACTTCATGGCCAAATGCCCGAACACTCATTGTGCTGCAAAGTTGTATTTGTGGGACGCTGGGCCCGTTTTCCAGCAGGTGCTGCTCCCCACCAATAGATGGAGCCTCCTGGGGGGTGGTAGGAGTGACTGCTCTTATCAGCATTCCTAGCACCCACCCGGGCAGTGTTTGGCCAAAAAAAAAAAAAAAAAAAAAAAAAAAAAAAGAATCTGAAATATCCGTGAGCCTTCCAGGCTCTTCCAGGAACGTGGGGAAAGCAGGGAAAACCGCACGTTTACGTCTGGGCGGTTGGGCACTCCTAACCAACTCTGTCTCAGGCCGATGTCGAAACGGGCCTGGATGCACACACTTTGGCCCAACACGAAGCTAGAGGGCAAGCATCCCCCTTAAGCGGGACGCCGTATTGAACGCTCCGTCTATTGGTGGGGAGCAGCACCTGCTGGAAATCGGGTCCAACGTCCCTGTACAATACAAGTGTTTTGTAACGAGGTTTGTACTTTGCTCAATCTGTCAGTGCAGTCTTTTTGGTTTCTGACCACCATGTGTACTATGTCTATGTCCCTGTACGTTACAGGGGTAGTGTATATTGTGAACGAATGGGCCCAGATGAAGATGAACAATGAGCCAATTTGCAGAACCCGAAATGACCAGTGCCCCTCCGAAAGGGCATACGGGACACTGAACCCGATCTCCAGCACTGTGGCTTTGCTCTGACTGCCTCATGCTCATGATTGTTCTATCAAACTTTCAAACTTTCAGCTATGTAATTCAGAAGGGACGCGGCGCTGAGCCAAAAAAGAACAAAAAAAAACAGAGCCCGATTCTCAGCACGTGATGCTCCCCACGAATAGATTCGAGCGTGTTTGTTAAAAAAAAAAGAAAAAAAAGGATCCTGCATATTGTGATAAGAGCTTTGATACTTTTCAGAATAGTTCTATTTCCGCTCGTGTGACATTTCGGTTGCAGGAGAAAACTTTTGAATAGTGGAGATGGCAGCTGATCCCTTCGCAGGTGCAGCGGCACAGATACTTCTAAGTGGGTTCATCGATTTTGGATTTGCAGCTAAAGACTTTGGCAAGGCGATATGGAAACACAAAAAGGACTACAACAACTTTGAATCAGATATCAAGAAGACTGAAGAGCATTTAGCAAGAGTCGCGGAGATGGGACTCACCGCYGAAAACTTGGATGCTTTGCGTGAAAAAATGAACATTCTGAAATCGGAACTGGAAAAAATTAGAGCGCATTGTGAATGGAACGGAAGGTTGTCGGCGGTTTTGGTATACTTMAAGCGTGGAAGTGCGCAGAAGACGCTAACAAAGCTGCATGAAGAGCTCAAAGTGTTGAAAAAGGATATGAAGAACATGCTTTTATTTCAGATTGCTGTGTCGTCCAGAGAGACTGTCGAAGTAATCAAAAGTATGCATGGTCCATCAGAGTCACAAAGCACGCTTGGTGAAGGAGAAAGTATAACCAAGTGGGTGTTCGCAACCATTGCAACCGAGGATCAAGTGTTTTGCGTGGAGCCTACCTTGAGAAACATACACAAAACTGTACTTTCTCAAAAAGAACAAATCAGTTCTTCGCCAACAGATTCAAGGACACATGCTAACCGGCCGGAAGTGGTTTGTCT